AGCCAATATCTCTTCTTTGCACCGTTCGATTGATTTCAAAATTCTCATGCATATAGAAAAATAAGTCTAATATCTTCTTATGCAAGTTTCACTCTAATCTAACTAGTAGATTGCAAGAAATCTTAAAAACCTCCACTAGATCTAAAATTCTACTTTCTAAGACCTTGACCCACTTGAACCTCAATATTTCTCAATTTAATTGTTAGATCGAGCTCAAATTCACAATAAATATTGAGCACAACTATAACCATAAACCCACAAAATTTCACCTAAAGATCTAATACAAAACTTTTGAAATCACCCAAAACGTAAACCCTATTTTATTTCATAAAACCCAAGTCATCTACAACAAACCTTGACTTTGCAAAGCTCTTACAAAGTCAAAACAACTCCAAATCATCCAAAATCAATGCTTATAGAAACCATATCCAATCTTCTATCAAACCCTACTCTTTGATCTACCAAAGAGTTGTAGAGTCGTCCTCGAGACTCGGTTTTGTGCCTCAGGATCTGATTTCGACCCTAAATCATAACCGGCCCTCTCTGGGTATCAACATCTAGTTTTTTTAAGTAATTTTTACTAGAATTTATTCTTAACTTTTTCCTAAAGATGTCTATATCATTTATTTTTCCAATCTATCTTATTTTGCCTTATTTTTGGCCCTATAAAGTAAGTAGAAGCTATTTTCTAAAAGAGCAGCATTACTACTAAAAGTTTTAATACCTTCCTATCTTTTATCCATATTTTTCTACCTTTCCTTTTAACTTGGCTCTTCTATAATAAGATCCATATTATCATCTTTCACCATATATTCATATTACAATACGACAACGATCTCTATTGTAATTGAAGAAATTGGTTTTGTGACACATTGTCCTCTTTGGAAATTATACTCTTCATTTTATAGTTACATTATTTCTTCAAAAATTATTAAGTAGTACACTTAGACTCTCTACGATATAAATACAATCCTTTTGGATGGCATCAAATTTTTTCTTATTTAGTAAGAAGTTTAAAACATATTGTATCAATATGCATAGATTTTGATTTTGATAAAAAAATTGTTATCATGAGTTTACTTGTATCTTTGCAACAAAATCTTTGTTCTTGGTGTCTTTTAATACAATGCCTCAAGCAATAAATTATTTCAATAAGTTTGCTTTAGATATTATCAATAATAAATCTTTTACATTATCTTTTAAACCATATTAAAATTGATTGATAAGAGCCTTATCATTTCAATCCACATTATAAGCAAGGTTTTAAAATTTAGCAACATATATAGTACCTAAATGTGGTCCTTGTTGTAAAGATACAAGTTTATTCTTTGTTATCTTTTTTCAATTACTTTTTCCAAATGTGACCATGAAGACTTTCAAAAATAAATTTAAATAATAGAGTAGTTGTAAATTCTTTTTTATTAAAATTAAAAATTAAAAAAAATAATTCCATAAAAAATATATCTATAAATTCAACTTACATAATCTATCAAGGTATTAAAAAGGATGTAACGTAAGATAGAGTTTTATTTATTGTAGAAATATTCAAAACTTTGATCTTATTCCATTGAACTTCTTGGGCATACTTATCATTATCTTCTTTATACTTATAGTAGTAAGATTTATTGGATTTAATTATAAACTTGATCTACTTGCTTCTCTAAATTGCACAATTTTTTGGCATAAACTTTGAACTTTATTATTGACTTCTTCCATAGGCATTAGAATATTACTTCCATAATTGACATTAGGGATATATTGTCATGTAATAACATGACTATATAGTAAAAAATAAAGATATAGATGTTATTATAGAAAAATCTAGTAGAAAGATGTAGTAGAAAATCAAAGATAAATTATAGGAAGGTAGTAAAAATTTTAGTCTTAATATTAACTTCTATAGAAAAAACTTCTATTTACTTTGTAGATGCATAAATAAGCCAAATAAAAGTAAATGAGATAAAAAATTGATATGAACATATTTGAAGAGAATTAAGGATAGGTTAAAGCAAAAATTACTTCAAATTACTAAAAATTGATATTCAAAAAAGATTGATTGTCAACTTGAATCAAAGTCACACCTTGTATCACAAAATTAAATATATATATATATATATATATATATATATATATGACAATTCTAAGGTTCTTTTACAAATTAAAGAGTGGAATTTGATAGACAAATTAAAAATAGATTTTTAAATATTAATTTTATATTATTTGGATTAATAATGAAATTTTGAAGGATTTTTAAAATTAATAATGTACTTGATCAGATTAAATTTAAAGAAATAAAAATAATTTTACAAATTTTAAGATTTTGTGAATTTTGTAGTATGTTTATAAGTGAAAATTAGGCATCTTATTATTGTGCTTGTTTTAAATATGTATAATAAATTTGAAATCAATTAAGCAATTATATTGAAACAAATAAAGGTTTTTGTGGATTATAGTCTCAAAAAATTGAGATTTAAAGGATCAATGAGGATTTCTAAGATATTTATCAATTTGCCAATTGGATTAAATATAATTTTGTTAAAAGATAGCTAGCTTGATTTTTGATAATTATGAAAAGCATGGAATAAATTAAATGGTAAAATTTAAAGATTTTGGCTTAGAAATATCAATATTAAGGTTGGCGAAGGAAGTCAGGGAATCCTTGAGCAAAGTTTTGAGATTTTTTAATTTAATTGTTATAAATTATATAAATTTTGAGTCAATATTAATAACTCAATTATTATTTATTTAATTTTAATTTGATGTAAGAATTACTAAAATTTATTTAAGATTAAAGATTTAATTGAAGATTGATTTAGGATCTAGAATTTGATTAGGATTTATTTAGAATTTAAGATTTATTTAGATTTGATTAGGATTTGACTAAGATTTTATTAATATTTGTCTAATATTTGAATAAGATTTTACTAGAATTTCATTATGATTGATCTAAGATTTAGGATTTCATTAAGATTTGATCTAAGATTTGATTAAAATTCATTAGGATTTCAATTAGAATTTGACCTAGGATTTAGACAAGGCTCATTAGGATTTCAATTAGGATTTTAATTAGAATTTGGCTTAAGATTTAATTTAGATTTATTAGGATTTTAATTAAAATTAAATTAAGATTTGATAAAGATTTATTTAGGATTTATTTAGATTTTATATTCTTGGTATTTTTTGAGATTTTTTATTATTTTTTTAAGATTTATATTTATATAATTTTTTTAATATTATTATTATTTCTTTAAGGTTTTATTTTTATATTTCTTTGAGATTAATTTATGATTTTTTAAGTTTTTTTTGTAACTTCTTTTAAATTTATTTTAAATTGAATAAAGTTTGATTAAGATTATTAAGGATTATTTGAAGTTTATTTAAGACTGCATTAGATTGGTAGGATTGTTGTTGCATTTGTATTTATCTTCCTTAGCTAAGTATCTAAAGCATTCTTAAGCAAGAATATATAAAATATGACAATGTGAAATTTCTACCCTAAGAATATTGACAAATTCATGAAGATGAGCAATGGTTGCAAATCTATTTTCACTTCTATTAAGAATAGCATCCATAATTTTTCCTTCCATAAACAACTTAAAAAAATCTATACGTCAATTTAGAAGAGGATAATCGACAACCTCTAATATCAAATGAAAATTTCTATAAAGAGGGATAGTCCACTCTTTTTAAGAAAAAAATCAATATAAGGGAATTAAAATATTAGATTGAAGGTACGTAGTTCACAACCTTTAAAACACAACAATAGAAGTAAAATAGTCCATTCACTTCTAAAAACAAGATAAGAATAATAAATTAGCAATCTTGTTAAACTATCAAGGATATGAGTCTCAAAAAACTAAAAGATCAATACACTCTTGTATTATTCAAAAAAACTAAAAAATCACTTAATGATGGTATGATATTAAACTAGAATGGCTATTGCCAAAGACAAGAAGACTAGAAAGACTTAAAACAAGATTAAGGACTAAAAAGGTGTTGATAAGAATGAAGAAGGCTTCACTCTTGCCTCCATATATACTATCTAATTAAAATCTACATAATAATATTCTATAAGACCCTTGATATGTGTCTAATTTGCAAGACACATGTCTTAACTTGCAAGGCATGTTTCTTATATATGCACCACATCATTGGCTTATACTACAAGCTACTAATACATATGATATATAACTAATTTGTTGGCCAAGTTTCTAATCTATCAATCACCTAAAGGTATATATATATATATATATATATATATAAAGGTGAAACCACATCTATGAAGCTTCTAGAGAGTTCTCCTATAAGATATTATCAAATTAACCTATTTTTACCTATTCATAATATCGAGGTAACTATTGGAGTAAATATGTATGTCCATGATATTCTACTTCAATATATATTTTTTATTTTGTATCTCTACATTGAAAGAGACTTTCCACAATGATGAGCTTTTTTTAAGACAACTTCAAGCTCTTATGATCCAATTTTAATATTTTTCCAATTATTGTTATTCATATGTCTTAGTTGGACTCCCCTCCATCTACTGAGGAATCCAATTCTACACTAGGAATATTAGTGTTTCTGGGATCACCGTGTCGTAAGGTAAATAGGTTTTTGTTGGAGCAGCGCTAGCATGTTTCTAGTGCATTTTTACAAGTGGGTTTAAAGATTATCTGGCAGTGGATTTAAAGATTATCTGGCAGCAGGAGTTCTTAACACATCCATCTCACGCCTTTGATGCTCCCGCTCGATATATTGCATTTTCCAAAGCTTAAATCCAATCGGCGCCTTTTGCAAATTATAAGTTTTGTTCTCGTAATTGTCTTCACTTCATCTGGTTGTTTTGTGAGTGGCCTTGTTTAACGAACATTGACCACCCATTGTCTTCAGACATTCAACGAAAATAGCATCTGGTGACATCAGTAGGGATTGGAAGGGCACGGAGATATTTCCTCTCAGGTACGCACATACCATTCGTTGTGGGGGACACATGACTAATGGGGACATTTAACGGGGAATTGGGAGAATCGAACTCCCGACCTCTCGCACCCGAAGCGAGAATCATACCACTAGACCAAATACCCGCTGCACTGGTAGATGCAGTGTCGCTATCTGCCAATTGTATGTTGAGCTATCATGCTTCAGTATATATAGTGACCTTATGAATATCTGGAAATCAGGAATTGCTCCCACATGGTTTTCAGGTTGTAGCCCAGGTCCTCTTCGTGTTGCCTGCGTTTATCCGTGAAATCTGCATGCCAACCTTCTCTTTACTTAGGGGAATGTGGTATGGCTCATCAAACTTGAAGAGCTTGTTTATGGTCGCTTTTGGACAGTTGCCAATATGACATCTAGTTATGATTCTTACAACATCAACACTAACTCTAGCAGGTGTGTTATCACCATGCTTTGAAGGAAAAGTGTTCAGTTGAAAATGAATAATCTTTGCAGAAGACAACAGCATTGAAAAGTAAACCAAAAAAGTTGAATAATAACAGCAAATAATCGAGTTGTTTTTTAATCAATGTTTTCCAAATGCTTAAATTTCGTTTGTCCATGTAAAAACAGTGGTAATTGAGATTTAGCAATCTGAAATGGGAAATAACAACAAAAGTAATAAACAATAACAATAATAAAAATAATAATAATCATCATCATCATCATTGTTGATTACAAGGGTTTTTATTTTCATTTTTATTTATATCTTATTGTCTATGAGAATCATTTTCGTCAAACGAAGCATCGCCAAGCCTATATGTGTCAATGTTTCCTACCGCTAATCAATTTAGGAGGTCGCACTAATTCTTTATCTATGGACCAAGCCAGCGCCGCTTTCGACCTGCCCATCATCTCCGTCGGTCGCTAGGTCCGTAGCTCGGTCGCTCGCTGGGTGCCGTTATCCAGTTTGGTGTTGGGCGCCAAACCCCGCGAGCTTTGCAACGTCGGAGCCTGTCACCTAGTCACGCAGACAGACATTCAGGCTTGCGAGCTACCTCGCATCATCGCAGAGCGCACCCACGTCGCAATTGGGAAACCGCCGCAGTCGCTGTGATGTTCGCCATGGCGGTAGCATCACCCAATTCGCTTCTGTATTCGCAGCCTAGCCACTCCGTCCCGTGTCATTCATTGTCCCATCAGGTGTGAAATGCCTCCGCTTCCAAGTTGTGGCATTGCTGGACCATTCCGGTTGCTTCTGCTTCTGATAATTCATGTGCATAGGTTTTGTGAGGCATGTTTTTTCACCTTCACTGCGGCCTTTGTCTGTCGAGGTGGTGGTGCTCTTGCATTGGGAAAGGAGGGCGCAATTATGTCCTGTAATTTCGTTCTATGATGGGATGGTGTTCTTCCTTATGAGACCCTTGATTGCGCGAGACCCACTTAGTGAGATTATGTTAGGTGACGTGACAGTAGAGCCTTGGGATGAGAAACGACATTACCTTGATTACCTAGTTCGTAAATGCGTGCAATGGAGTGGATTCATCTGCTGGAGCTGAGTCGAGAGGTTGTCTAATTCCTTTCAATTGTTGTTCATCTCATGATAAAATTTCTGTTATTGTTTCTATGTCCAAGTTTGGGAATGAAGTTCACATGGCGTTTTAGCCACGAGGAGCTCAGCTCCTTCGTTTCTCGTCTATATTTTGATATATTCGCTGAATTGGTTTCGTCACGTTTTCAGCTGGGCAAGAAGACTCTGAAATGAATGTCTGTACGAGGGTTATTTCTTTAGGTGATTTGAGGAAAATGTGTGAGTAATCCTCTCACGTTTGTAATTTGTAGCAGTTACGGCATCAGCCTATTGGACAAGCAGTTCAGATAGGAAAGCTAAGGAAAGAAAGATTGTGTATCAATGCAAGTGCAGAGACTCAGACTTCTTCTGAAACACCAGGTAGCTTTCTAGTTTCATCACGTTCTTCTTGATGTACTCGTTTCATTAAGAGGAAAGCAAACGAAGAACTGGAGATATGCGAATTATGTGTGTTTCATGACCTAATCTGTTTGTTGCCATTGATGAGATACACTTTACTCTGAAATGCCATTTCTTGTAACATCACATTTACGATTCTTGCAAATTCTTATATCTGCAGATGAACGTTGTAAAGCAGTAAAGTAGTAACCATAAAATGTCTGCTTTCGTAGTACGATGGCTTTTTATGTCTGGTCCTGAAATGCGTAGTGATGATTCAGATGAGACTGCCTTGTCAACTACTACATCACGTCGACAGCTGGTAGCGTTTCCAATAGCAAGCACGTGTTCTTATTTGGCTGCAATGGTAGCAGACAGAGAGACAGCCATAGCATCGGACTTTGCATCCAGTATGTTTTAATTGCTAACTTTTTCTCCTCTTTGGATGATTAGTTTCGCAAGCTTCATGTCTTGTCCCATTTTCAAATTCATCACGTCTACTCAGGCATGCAAGAACCCTCTGGTTGCGACAGTTGTGGGAAGTATTATCAATACCGTGAGTGATTTCATTGTATTCGTTGGACTAATGTCATAAATCATTTTCATAACGTGCAGTGCCAGCTTTACAAGGGAAAGATTATGGCAAGTCGAAAATGAGTTACCCTGACTACGTACAGACAGGAACTGGTCTGCAGTTCAAGGTATGCTGCTAACTTTCCAAGTCTCTCACAGCCAAGTGGTGGGTCGTCGGATGGAGATCATGTGTTTCTTTTGAATAATACAGTTTCAATTTGAAGGACGATATAATTGAATTATCACTTGTATGATTTTCAGGACTTGAGAGAAGGAACTGGACCAGTTCCTGCTGCTGGAAACGCAGTGGTGGTAAGTCTGGAAGTTGGTTGAAACATATATAAGTCTCCATGCAGTTTTGCTTCCTTGCATTTTAGATTCTTGTCGCTCTTTTCTTCTTCTACTCATAAGTTAAATATTCAATTGATTATGCTCTTATCGTCTTAAATTTGTATATATCTGCCGTATGCTGGTTTTCGAAGAAAGTGCCACAATGAGTTTGTACTTTGTGAAGTGATGTTCAGGTGGACTGGGATGGTTACACTATTGGCTACCTCGGTCGCATTTTTGAGGCTCGAAACAAAGCAAAAGGTGGTTCCTTTGAGGTACTTAAGCTCTTGATTTAATAGCATTGATTTTATCAAGAGGATTAGAATATATTGTTTGTGTACATCTAGAGAGATACCAAGCCTGTTAGGTATGCATCACAAAACTTGCTAGTAAATCAGCTTCTAAAGTATTCACGCAAAGACCATTGATCGATCTTCACAGACCGTAGCAAACACCAGGCAGGTATTGACGTTTTTTCAAATAATGAATATGTTCCGTGCACCCCTAGCTATTTTGTCAACCATAGCTTTTTTGCCGCGTGGGTGTGCAGGGTGACGATAAAAGTTTCTTTCGATTCAAACTAGGAAATTCAGAGGTGATTTTCGATCATACCTTTCGACTTTCAGTTTTTCAACTTCGTAACAATCGTAGGAGAAGGCTACAAGAAGATTGTTTGCTGATTGGAATATTTTACGGGCGTGATTTACTCTTTTCTTTAGTTACGTATGTGCTGAGTCGTTCAAACTAAAGCTAATGATAAGTCTACTGTACAGGTCATTCCTGCTTTTGAAGAGGCTGTTGCAACAATGAAAGTTGGTGGTATACGCAGGTATTAACAAACACCCTTATAATTCAACTATCAACTTCCTATTTTCACTCTTAACAGTGTACTTACATTTCATCTTAGATAAAGATGGTTCCTTTGAGGTTTGGTCTTGTAATTTGTGTTTGGTTTATATTCTTGAATTTGTAGGCGCCATGGTTTTGGATGTTAAAGCATTTGTAATTCCCGTGACGTTTGGCATCCACATTGTTTTTGAGTTGAGATTTCTATTTTACTCCTCTAAGTTTAACTGGCCTGCAGGATAATTGTACCTCCTGAACTAGGCTATCCTAACAACGATTTCAACCAGAAAGGTCCTCGCCCAAACACATTCTCGGTGAGTTTTACTTCTTTTCTGTGACTATTTTTCTTCTGTATGGACTAATATATTCATATCCAATATAAGGCATGATAGCAAGAGTGGAAATTGCACATGATATTAGTATTCTATTTCATTGCTTGGAAATGAGCCTGAAAGTTAATCGCTGTTTGTAACAATTCAGGGACAGCGAGCACTGGACTTCGTATTGCGTAATCAGGGCTTGATCGACAAAACCCTCTTATTTGATATTGAGCTTATTAAAGTTGTCAATAATTGAGTCTGGAGCAACCTGGGGAGCTTGTCCACAATCACCCACCATTGTAGGAAAATTAGTGCTCTGTAATGCAGGCTCTGCAAAAGCGATGCGGGGCTCCAAGACCACTCAACGTAGAACTATGATATGATGAACACCTACGGCGTGAAATATGCCTGACAATTGAAGCTATCTGGATCAAGGAAGCAGCACAGCATGAGGAAACTTCATTCATGTTGTACCATAAATTTATTTTTCTGCTTTCTTCATTCACATATTTGTGAATTAATTTGTTGATTGTCTGCTGGGATTGATTAACTGGTCTCTCTTCGTCGGAACGTTGGATAGGCTTGAATGCCAATCGGTTGTTTCAGTTACTCAGTTTGAGTTTGTTTATACTGTCGTGTTAATGTACTTAACTTGGAAAGTTGTTGAGATAATATCAATGTAGTTCTCAATGTTTAAAAAGCTCCATACTAGCATTGAAGCAAGCAGGACTTTATTTTTTTGGTTTTACTTGTATCGGAAAATTGGAGAACAATTATTCTTTGACACAGTGTTATATTGACACAGTGTTATATGATTCATCACCACTTCAATATAGGTGTGGTTCTTGTGTTAAAGCTTCAGTTTAAACCTATCAATTATAATAATATCAATGTTTTGATAATGTATTTATTCATTTAACATTGGCACAATAGACTAGATTGATTATAGGGAAGTCTTTGTTTTTTTTGTTGTTATTTTTTGTGGCTGGAATTATTCACCAACAATTCTCCAGTATCAATGTTTTGGCATGTTAAAGATTACAGATTTTTATTTCAATTGAATTTTATACAATCTCATAATCATGGTTTAGTTAATAGATGCTTAAGTTGTAGAATATTAAGGGCATTACCATTGTTGTTGCTAAGGGTGGTGCAAATAGTTGGCTAGGTTGCTTGACTTCAAAATGAGCTCTACTATAGCCTATTTATAGGCCTTAGCAAGGGGAACCTTAGCAAAATAGAGCGTTTCTCTAGCAGCCTATTATAGAAACTACTCTATCCAATCATGGCCAAGATTAGAAGTGGAGCCTTAGAAGAGCCCACTTCCAATTCTTTCCTTCTTCTAAGAAGAATTTCATATTAAATATCAATCCCTTCACATAATTTAAAAATAAAAAATAAAAAATAAAAAAAACACATAACATTCACAACAACTCATACAACACTCATACAACTTTTGTAAGTATTAAGCTGATTTGTATTCTTGTTGAATAGGATTTTTTTGCATTCCCTCCTTGTATGTTTTATTTCTTTCACCTTCATACCACAATTTTGTGAGTGTATAGTTTCTTTGTTTTTTTGTTGTATAGGAAGATTTTGCAATGGAAGTGTGGAGGGCGACATTAGCAAATGTGCGTGCAACTTTCATGAAAGACAATGAAGTTAGTATTATGATGGTCTTGGGTTAATTTGAGAGCAATCTATATATTGAATCACCACTATGATGGTGCTTTATAGGTGGTTCTTGCAAAAGGAAGGCCAAGAGCATTAAGAAAGCTAGAGTGCTTATGAACAAGTGGATACATCTTGATTACTTTGCAAATGAATCAATTTGAGATTTTTTTATTTTATTTTATTTTATTTTTTATCATTGATTTTATATAAGAAAATCACTATTTTTCAATAACAATGTTTATGGAAGCTTAATCCTATATCCATATTTTTTGTGTATCCATCTAGATCAATTGTTTTTTAATCTTAAAGATCTTAATATGCATATTAAGTTTGAAAACTCCACAAACTTCAATCAAATGTATTATAAGCTATTAGTTGTTGTGAATCAATATGCACTACATCCTTCTATTTTACTATCCTCACATATCTACATTGTCTATGAATCAATTCTAATCTTCTTCTGATCTTCTCAATTAAAAATACTACTTAGCTTCAAGATCCTTCAAAGTGGCTTTGTTTGTGAACATGAGGAGGAGCAAATTTTGGTCAATTAGATCCACTACCTTTAACATTTATACTTCTACCATCTTATTTATGGCCTACACTCCTGTATATAATACATCTTCTCTTAGCTTAGAAAATATATCTCGTTATCACTCTTCTGCCTGTACAACTTATGTGGATACCTCAAAATATCAATTGCACTTGTATCACTCTTGTACAACTTATGCAGTTGTGCATAGATACTAATCCATTTATTCTTATGATGTTTCATATTGCCCTATTTTGTCTCCAACAAACACTGTGACTTTGCACCCTCAGACTTATGTTTATTATAGTGATTTGAAAACATCCTAGCTTTCTATTGGTTGCCAGTAATCCTATCATACAATACATGCAAAATAATCCTACACAATTGTTCTTCCTCTTTGCGGCAATATATCTTGTCTTTTACCTTGAGATGCATTGGACCCCCTCTTCTACAACTTTCAAGCTTAGTTTTATTCCTATTATGATGAAATTGACAAAAAAATATAAAGATCTAATCAAAATTTATACAAAAAAAATGAAGTTCTTGTCAAAATTCACTCAAAATATTGAAGCTTTGGTCAAAACCTTATTCTTTATTCTTCCATAGCAAAAAATTCCTACACAACAAAAAAACAAATTTACTCTACATTCACAAAATTGCGCTAAGAAGGAGAGAGTTGAAAGGTGTAAGGAAAAAAATCAAAAACTTCCTACACAACAAAAAAAACATGTAAAATGAGAGTGCAAAAAATTTCTATTCAAGAAGAATACAAACCAACTCAGCACTCACAAAAGTTGTGTGAGTGTTGTGTAAATTGTGATTGTTTTGTTGTTTCTTTCTTTTTATCATACAAGGGAGATTATAGTTAATAGGGAGAGAACTTCTTGTAAAGAGGAAGGAGGCTAGAAGTAGAGTTTCTAAGGAGCCAACATGGAGTGAACTAGAAGTACCAGACTTAGCTATTGTCAGCCACCCCACCCCAAGACTACCTTAGCCAGTGCACCATATGCCTACAACATCCATCCATTAGTCATCTCCATTGGCACCAATAGGTGACAATGTCCTAAGGGTATTTTCTCCGTAGATTGAACCAAATCAATCCATATTAGTTGAATTCAAAAATTTGAAAATAATATTAAAAAATTCAATATTTATATCCAAATATTATGAACAAAGGAATAATAATAATATTATAGTCTGCAAAATTTACAATATTCAATTTTTATGAATTCACCTTGTAAGATGGATAAAATTCTTTTTACAATGCCCTATAGCAAAAGCTGCTATCACATTTGGTTATAGAGCCACACAACTTGGAATTTGAAAAATGGATAAGAAAGACATGTAAAAAGTCTAGATCACAATATTTAGTGAAAAACTTCCTTTTGTTATCAATTATTCTATTTTTACAAGGTGGATTATAATGTTATTATTAATAATAGTGATAATAATGATCTCAATTAATATCCTATCTTATCCTTGCCCATAATTATTGTGTTTTGGATCACCATTTGTTTTGCATCAAATCAAAATCAACATTGAATTGTAAATGTAGTAATTTTATTCCTCATAAACTAATGTCAAGGCAACATCATCATTACGTTCTCTTAAGTTTGCTGGTGAGAACATAAACTTTGTTCTTTGAAACGAACAAACGCTGGATATGCATGTTTTGGACAAATAATAGGGATCAAGACCAGACAGTGCAAAACTTGGACAAATCATCTTAATCACCGTCGATTTCATTAGTATTCATAGAGTATTTTTTTAATATCGACTAAATTAACGACGTATGAAAGAACAATGTCATCTTGTAACCCATACTTGAAATTTCTGTCCCGCAACTCTTCCGCCAGGGTTAGAACCGTCACTAGTAAATATTTTTAAACATTGATCCGCATTGTTCCGCACTCATGTTGTTCCATGTTTCAAATGTTGGCAGACGTTTCTTCTCTTGTGTCCCACAGGGAAGACATCTGTCATTACATCACCCATAGCCATGTCAGATGCCTTTTCAGTGTAAAATATCACAAGACAATCTAGAGAATTAACGTTATTATAGATTCTGGTTGTTAATCTAGTTTGGCAAAATTATGTTCAGTGTAGTTATTTGTGTAAGTGAATGCAAAATTTTCAGTAGTACATGTGCTGAAAACCATAAAAGGCATCAATACAATCTGTAAGCATTAATTCAATGCTGAATTAAATGAACTTCCAATAATAAACTTACAGTAACGTACTTTCAGCTCAATTAGATAGTCATGAGTGCAAACCTTAATACACTCTAAACAGTGATTAAGGACAAATTTGGTCATAAATGGTGTGCAGTGATAAGCTAGATAAAATTACAATATTATTACAATCTTCTGCAACCTGTACCACAACAAATACTAAGCACATTCCAATGACAGGGTCGTGGTGATTCCAGGGAGATCTTGACGGAAACTTGACAAAAAGCACTGTTCTAAATAAACGACGATGGGACTATGAGAAAAAGGCCCGGTGAGCTGTTGGATCAAGTGCCTTCACTTCCACATTGCTTCGATGCAAGACTAAATGCCCAACAACAGCCCAATATGACTACCCAGTGACACCTGAGAGGAGCCTTGCTTCTGAATCGTCACTCTCCGCTGGCGATGCTGAATCAGGACCCGCCTTTGTTTCAATGAAATCTACCCATCCCTTCACTTTTGCAAGCTGCAGGAGAGGATACGTCACCATACCGAGAAGGAAAAGCCCAAGGCTTACAATTATAGTTTGCCATGATGCGTAACTCATCACCATGAGCAAAAGTCCGGTTGCTGGTACAGACATGATGGTGACTCCGATGGTTCCAAGTGGGACCTTGTAAGGCCGCACTAGATTAGGTTGTGACCATCGCAGATAGACAAAGGCAGCGAACTCGATGAGCATACCGATGCAGTACAGGAAGTTCAAAAACTCCACGATCTCTTGGAAGCTCATGCATGATAGTAAAAGCACCCCGGAAGCAGAGAAGAGGATGCCGAGCATGGGTGTTCCGTACTGAGAACGCTTAGCAAACACCTTGGGCAGCATCCCCATCTCACCCATTCCCAAAAGCTGGAAAGAGTCACTGCTCATTTCAGCCTCAAACAAACCCATGTTAGATAGTAGAGCCGCAGCTTCGATCCACCACTTGAGAAAAGACCCCCCAATTGCTAATCCAACGTCTGCGAAGTATCCATCCTCCCACAAGGAATCATTTGACTCCATGGCACCGGTACCGGCCAGTAAAGGTACCACGTAGCCCACGATGACCAATAAAACTGCCCACAAAAGAGCCTTAGGGAAGGTATCTTTAGGGTTGTCGACTTCTCCTGCCAATGTACTTGCAGAATCCCAATAATTTAAGTTCCAGAACAGAGTGTTGAAATAAGTCCGCCAGTTCACCTTCCCAGGATTAACAACCAACCATCTCCGCGGACGGATCTTGGGAATGGACATGAGGGACAGAACTAGAAATGGCAAAAGGGAAAATCCTGTAAGAGCCACTGCTGTGATGCCTACAATAGTCAATCCTCTGTAATTGAGGTATGTAAGCAAGACGGTGATAACTAAAAGGGAGATGAAACGTAAAGGACCATCTGCAAACATAGGCACTGCACGCTTGAAATAGTCCAGAAACAGAACAGGGTACAATGCATTATCTGCAACTCCACTGATCCATTTACACCAACCCTCTTGAAACCCCCAGAAGTCTCCAAACGCAGCTGAAATCCACAGCACATATCCTCCATTTTCTGGAAATGCTGTAGCCAGCTCTGCAGTTATCAGCGCCTCCGGAATGCTCCATACGAAGGGAAATATCAGGAAACCCAAAATCGCCAGCAGAGGTCCACCTGACTTGACTGAATCCTCCACCCCAAAGGGTCCACCTGAGACCTCGTAAAATATAAGCGCCACTAGTGGTAGTAATCCTAGTTTGGATCCTCCATTATTTTTCCCATGCGAATCCTTAGTCATCAATGAGGGAGCCTCTGGAGACTCAGACTTAACCTCTCGCAATGAGTTTAGGAAGACCCCCATCAGGTTTCTCTGTCTATCTAAACCACATGGGGAGGTGGTCCGCAGACGTCGAACCAAATCCCTCACCCTGACTCTCAATCGTTCGATCTACTCGTAGCTCTTCGCCATAGTTCTTTCCTTATAAATCACCCAATTCTGAAGGGTTCTCTAGTGAAGAAGTGAGTGGTACGGAACCTGCAAGCAAAAAATGGGACGGCAATCAGACATGTATCCGGGTTCGGCCTGAAGAAGGGACTGCTGCACAACTTAATTTCAACCCTATGACATTAGATGAGGCACTGACAGAGTGGGACCATCATTTAACACTTAACCAAGTAAAAAAAAATTAAGTGAGAAGGCAACTCGCCATCTGCAAACAGTCACCACAAAGAATCTAATATGTAACAATCCTCCGCCTCATGCCTCGCAATGTCCATTTCACATTTCCTTGAATGTCGGGAAATTCTACGCCTCCATGCATCCTCTCCGTATCACAAAAACCAAAATCCTATCCTCTTCACAATATTGGTGGAAATTGATAGAACAAGTGGAGCGTTGTGAAAGGGAAAATCATGCAGCACTGAATGCGACACCGAACACACCACAGCTCATGAGGCGATCTCAACTTCTTCTACACCGACACCAACAAAATCATGTCACACAAGAAAGAGCTTCGTCTTCTCGAATAGGTCTAAATCCAGAACAATTCAAACCCAAATCAAATCTTAGAAGCGAAACAACAAAACACAGTTCCTTACACTCCAGGGACACCCTCGATCACGGAGTCTTCAGAACACAAAAAGACACAACACTGCTCCGCATCAGCCTCTAGAGTTTGACCGAAAACCAAAAATTACAGAAACAATTGAAAAACAAAGTACAAAAAAGATACCAAAATCTGAACCTCAACTCCACCCAACTCAATCCAGAGAACGCTCCCACACTTACATTCACCACCCCATCCGAACAAATGGTCGGATCGCCAGATCATGCCTTACTCGCCCAACCCCTCACCCCCTCCCCGAACCCTAAAGACCACGGCGGAAACAAACGCGAAGGCTCAAATGCAAAAAACGCAAAGAAAAGCGTCGACTAACGAGGCACACGGCACGCAACACAACAATTCCGTGGGATTTGGAAGAAAGGATAAACTAGGGCAATGAAAGTCCGTCAAAAAAGAGGGTGAGAGAGTGATACATTATTTTTTTTTCATTACTTATTATTGTTTTCCCTATTTTTGTTCCCTTCGTGTTCCCTGTTTTGTCCCCTATGTGTTCCCATCATGTTCTCATTTTGCTCCCACTGTATTCCTGTCGCATTTTACTCGTGTTCCTTTGGAGGTCCCGTTATTGCGGGTGTCCAATTTCCCAGCAAATGTCCTCACCACAATTCAACATTTTGGTGGATTGGTTTCGTTGGAAATGCGTGTGTACGCACGTATTCAAACGTCAATATACACACACACACACATATATATATATATATGTATGTATATATATTCATTTTATTGGATGAATATTTATTATTTGATTTAGTGTTTTTTTAAATATAGAATAGGATTTTTCCAACTAGAGACAATTCCAATTCATTTTATTTATTTGCACATACTTACATGTGCATGTTGTCTCTTTGTTACATATAGGATAAGGTTTATTCATTACTTTTTCTTTTTTATTCCTCACATGTTCCATTAATTTTTATTCTAAAATTAACCATGCAATAGTATTAGTGTCAAATCTTTTGTCTATTGAGTCAATTTATAAGATAACTTGAAAGTGTTTATTAAAAATTTTGTTGATTAAGAACTTGTACTCATATATAATTTCCTATTTTTTTGAAAAAATTACTTGTTGATGTATTAGGTAAAAAAAGAGTATTGCTAACGTTGTCATATTTTTTTGTTACTGCAATTGCAATCTCCCATTCACTACATGTTACTATCGTTTCTGCTATTGTTACACAATTTATCATCCACCACATGTCATCATAGTTTTTGCTATTGCTACCACAATCTACCATGTACCACATGCCATCCACACTTTTTTGTTTATGTTAAATAAGAATGTAACTATTTTTAAAAAATATGTGTATATATATATATATAAAAAAAAATTATATACATATATTGTTGATGTGAGTTTTTATCCTAGACAAACTAAGTACTTACCGTATCTCAAAATTTTATTTTATTTTCTAAAAGACTTAATACTCATAATAATAGTAATGTCACACGTGAATTTTAACTAGATGCTATACTTTAAATGCAATAAATTAAATTAGTTCACAACTTGCATTACTTATTTTGGTGGCACAAGGCCAACAAATCACGGTGACGGGATGTGAGACCTTAAAAGGTGCATGTAACTTTTTTGAGCCATGGATTGGGCCTGAATGGACGTGCCACCTCACCCATCCACGTAGATCCAGGTATTTTTGCTGCCTTCAGGTGGGATATTTATGTCTTTGAGCTGTCCATACTATATGTCATCTTGCCATGTGGATTGGATTCCGGGAGTTCCTGGTTCCATTTCCAGTCCCCACCAATGGTTGTTGAAGCATTAGAAGTAGAAGTATTAGAAAACAACATGCTTTGTTTTAGAGTAACTGCTTTATTTATTTTTATCGTGCATGTGTGTGTATATGTGTGGAAATATACATATATACAAATATCCATATAAACTCTCATATTTCTCAAAAAGTTACATGATGCCTTCTTACATTACATTTACAAGTATAAATGTATAGCATAAATATTAGAAATATCAGAAGAGGTATTAGAAGTAGAAATTGTAGAAAGTACAAGAAAACATGCTGTGTTTGGGAGTAAATAAAATATCCTGCCAAATGTTCAGATTCATGGATCTAACATCTTCACCATAATATATGATAAAATAATAAAGGAAAATTCTCAAATACACCCCCGCAAGTACCCTCAATATCAAGAATACTTTTGTATACTTGATAAGAGCAAATATATCCATTACTTATTGGGTATCACCACCAGCAATGATCCTTGTATTGTATCGTATATTAACGGGTGTCAACCCCTCTCAATGATTATGCTCAATGGTATATCAAAGTTCAAATTTATGATCAACTCCACGTTGATGCTCTCCATAAATATGGACATGATTGCACTGTAGCGGATATCAAATGAAACTGCGTCTAGACATGCAACGTTGTTATCAATCCTCTAGCCTCGCAATCAACACCTGCGACAAGGTAGCATCAAAGATTGAAGACACTCAGTCGAAAGAGTACACTGCAATGTGAGATGAGGTCGATACAGCTACTATTGAAATCAACATCGGCATGTTTCTTTCTTGACGTTCTTATATTAGTTGTGTCTAAGTTGGATGCAATCTTCTTATCCTTGATAGTGTTCTTTATGTTGTAGGCGTAATTCTCAAGTCCGTTCTTTGCTTCAATCTTCTTCTGGTGGTCCTCATCCTTAGATTTGTATTTCCCAGCCTCCTGAACCATCTTCTCAATCTCGTCCTTAGATAGACAACCCTTGTCGATAGTGACGGTGATTTTGTTCTTTTGTCCCGTTGTCTTATCCTTGGCAGACACGTTTAAGATATGCAAATTAAAGTTGAGTAGTTTGCGTTCTTCACAAATCACAACTTGCAAGTTCAGTGGATTATAATTCAATTTATCTAGCACAATCAATTTGCCAAGCCATTCTTTGATGCAATCGCATTCACAATGTGCACTCATCTTTGACTGCATGTGTGTTTTACTCACAGAGTCTTGGGGACACGTTTAAAATTACAAGGAGCCGAGTTTGGCACGGTAGTTTCTAAAAACAACTTTGAAAAATATTGCACCCTCATCCCGTCATCTGAGGACTGACTCCATTGGCGCGGTTTCTAAAAACCAAACATATAGAATTTTAGATGGCTACGACTTCTTCAAGCGGACAGTGGCAATACCACCATCGCCACATTTTTTTCTGTTTGTGTTGCTAGATTTCACGTGCTTCGCGGGTAGAGTCCGAGATAACTCCGATACTAGCGGGAAAATTTTGGGGTTTGAAAATTTAAGGCAGACGAATGTTGGTCAAAGCTCTCTCATTGCTACAGCCTTTGTTGTAGCTAAGTATGAACCCGTTGTCAATAATTACAAATTCTAATGAATAGATCGACGAAGCAAGAATGATTCCAGATCTTTAACTAAATTATTTGGCTATTCACTTGATTAACACAACTCATGCTCGTAGGATGTTATTGAAGTTGTGTGTGACGGATGTGCCAACATGTGAATTATTCCTCAATAATATATATTCAAGTTGAATTTTTTAGAGGTAGGATTAGAGCGGTCTCTTCATTGAAGAAACTCGTTGAGCTCGTCGTCTCTTGTAATTCTTTTGTTTGATTGCTTTTATGATTGATTACGTCTAGAGTCAACTCTTTAACTTCTGAGTGCAGAAGAGCGTTCTTTTGGATCCATTCCGAAGTTACAAAGCAAGTCTTTGCTGCCCAAGGATTGAGTGTTCCCCATCACACGTAGTTCAATCCTTCTCATATCTACATGCTCATCCCTTGATTGAGTCGTTAAAGAATGTATTTTTTTGATTATGCAATGGTTTTGATGGCCCTCCAGACGTTGTGTGGTGCTCCTCAAGTCCTCCAAAAAATGCCGCCATGTATCCCACCACAACAAATTTTGTACAATATATGCACTTGCTGAGAATGCATTTTACAAAGATCACGGAGCCAATAATCTATGCATGAATCACAGGATCAAATACTTGAGTATAGATCACAGAGTCAACAATCTTTGAGTGGATCATGGAATCAAAACAAGTAATAATGAACTCAAGCTCTTAACCACACACGTAGCTCATGTGTTACACTACTCTAGGTAAACAAGAAGAATCAAGCCAAACTGCCTCATTTATCTAGTCCACATTGACATTTTATTCAGAAAATGCAAAAGATAATGTAAAGTCCATAAGTTTAATTTCCATCAGCAACAACATTAATGAATATTAAGCTTTTTATTTTTAGGTAATTGTATTTATATCTAAAGACTAGAGAATACATTAACGTGCATCAGCTTCAATCCAAAAAAATATTCAACATAATAAAGGTATTACAATATCTTACTTAATGGCATGGTGTATATTTTATTTTATTTTTATTTTTTTAAATTGAATTAATTTGCTCCTATAAAAACAACTACTTCAACTTGAAAGCATATTGTCATCAAGTCAAAATAAAGAGTACTACTTCAACTTGAAAGCATATTGTCATTAAGTCAAAATAAAGAGTCTTGAGAGCTTTGTAGAATTTGAAAGTCAATAAATAAAATTGCTTTCTTCAATTGTTTGTTTCCTATAATGCAAGCTTACATGACTTATAATACTATCAACTTGTCATTGATATGGACAATATCTATTTGAAAAAAAATATTATAAAATATTCTTTGCTCTTATAATAATTAATGCAAAGAAGCAAATATTTTTTATTACATTCAATATTATGAATGTTGATATGATAATAATTAGGTGTGATTCTTAGAGAAGTTAAAGAAAATAATTCTTCCATCATATCTACTAAAATACAAACTTTTGAAATTTATATATTTTTTTAATCAATTAAAAGATCTTTGGCTAAGAACTTACAATGATAATTTAAAAATATAATGCTTATATAATATCTTTGTATAGTAGCATAGATACTAATTGTTTCCAATTTCAATATCAAATTCTTAAAAATCTAGGTTATATCCAAAGAAGTTGCAAAATACTTGATAGACAATAGGCCATAATATTGGAATTGTCATAGTTTGATAGAAACCAATTTAGTTACATGATTTTGAATATTACAAAATCTCTAAATTCTTAGATCTTGAAAGTGCATGAAATGCCATTAATTTTAATGTTGAAAAATATTTGGCAGTAATTAATAGCATATTACAATGAATAACATATAATTATAAATATAATTATTATACTATTATCAATTAATACAAAGCAAAAGTTTGAATTGCTACAAACACTTGCATATAGCTATTACATCATTTCTTTATCTTATATTATCTTTGAATGCATGTTGAAGCAATCTTCTAATGTCTTAGATTTAAAAAATTATACATATACTTATAATCAATGACAACTATTTAGAATCCCATGTGTACATACAATTAGTGCTTTG